TAAAATATATTTTTTCACAATGTCCGTTAACTCTGACCTCAGCAGAAATGTATACAGCTGGCTGATAATTTGCAGAGGGCTCTAATTTGGGCAGTAGATTTTTATTAAATGCCTTTTATATGAAAGTTACATTGGTTAATTAAAAATCATAACAGATTTTTTTTACATTGGCGCTTACAGGGAAGGTAACACATTGCAGCAATATTTGTGTACTGTGTACGTCTGTGTTATATGAACAATTATAAGGTGTATTCAACATTAAAGTCAGACATGTGTCCCACCATGCTGGGCATGGCAAGATTACATATCCAGTCTTGCAGATATTCCGCACACAGAGCCTAGGGAAGGCCACAGGCGCAAGAGCCGAAGTAGTGGCACATTCTATAGTTGGCAAAAGGGCACATGTAAACCGGTTTCATCTTTATTGGGACTCGCGTCTACGTGCCTGTAAAATATTTACTGTCCTTGTAAAACCTGTGCCCACTGAAGGCGAGCGTGTGTTCAGCAAGCGGCCGCTCAGCGGTTTACCGAGTTCGATTCCAGCTCCCGGCCACCACCAACACCAGTGACGATTATGCGAACCGGTCCTGGCCTCCCCTAGGTTGACCCAGCCCTCAAATGAGTACCTGGTGCGGTGTGTAGTTAACATCGCCACTTGGGAAACAAAAGTGGCCGGGCGTGGTTGCTGGCCACCCACCCTCTCGTGTAAGTGCCGGATTAAGCTCGTGCGGGGCCTGTAACATGTGCTATACAAGGGCCCTAAAAAAACCCACAAATATTAAAACAGACATTTTTTTTATTTGCATAGTAAAGTAATTGTTTATTTTTTTTATTTGCTATACAGCCAGATAATACGACAAATCGCTCACCTTAAACACCCAGTCGTTCTCACAAGTTCAAGGCAGTATAGTACAAAGGTAATAGAGCAAGTGCAGAATCACTGAACCGGAATTGATGGCTTGAACGCATTTAGCGCGGACCCCTTCAAAGTGCGGGCCCGTAGTGACATGTGTAGCTACTTTTGCTCCTGGGATAATCCGGTACTGAGTCGTGTGCCGTACCGGCCTTCATAGGTGCTCCTCGCTAACAGCATTTACCCTAAAGTTCACTCTCCGCATAGCAGTAAAAATCACTTGTTACGGTGACGACCCACACAACAGCTCTTAACTGGCCCCTGGCATCAGAGAAGATCTGGAGTTTGGTGCCTAGAAAGGAGTGAGTGTGTGTGAGAGTTTTACGAGTACAGCAATAGATGAATGAATAACCCACACTCAAGTTTACAATTCAGCTGTGGGTTAACAAACAGCGTACAGTAGACCCAACCCGACATTAAACGCAACACGTACGCATATATAGCGTACGTGTAGGACCACGCTGCACTGTCATTCAAAATAGAACCCCAACATAATGTGAATGCATTGCATGGCACCGTGCCCGCGGGCAGGCGGGCCAGTGGGGTGGGTGAGCCCCGGAGTGAAGTATGGCAAAGTTTGCCGGCTGGCATGATAGGGCCCACTCAGAAGGCTGGCTCGCTGCCGAGGCTGCGTGTCTTCGTGCCTGTGCTCAGGCGTGACACCCCCTTCGGTTGACACAAAACCACAGCGCCGTTACCACCCCCCCCACCTCCTCTTTCCATTCAACCTCGCGTGGTGGCACAGAGGGTTGGGCAACAATAGCCTTTTGCCGCCTCGCCCCCCAAGCAACTTAGTCAACACAAATTGTTATCGTGGTAACTCTCCGTTAGTGGTGCGACTGTGAGTCATCGAGAGCTGACCGTAACAACTTATACCGACGAAGCAATGGCCCGAGCCGCAAATAAAAAGGGTGGTGGTGGGGGGTGGGGGGAGGAGGCAATCGCAGCGGCCATTGACCGCCGTGAAAGTGGAAATTGTGGTCGTCGCTCTGCCTCTTGCATCGGCCGCACGAAAAGGGGGAGGTGCCTGAACAGCGCTTGCCGTGTTACTTTTTTAGAATCTCCAATTATAGTCTGCGGACAATGCAATGCACTGCACTGTAGATTGTTTGAACGTTACGTTGAGGTTGTGGGTATGGAACCGATGTGTACTGTGTCCTGGAATAGCTGCCGCCCTGTACCTCATTCGTTATTGTTTGGAGTCGGATCGCGGGAGTCAAAAGTTGTGTCGTATACCCCCCCACCACCTCCTCCACCCGACAGACCCACATTTCTAAAGTGGTAACGTGAACAAACGCGCCAATGTATTACTGCTTCAGCACCACCGGTGTGTTGGAGAGCAATCCACAACATTGAACAATTGGGTGGAAATTGGTTACGAAGCATAATGTTGGTCATGAAAGCCCACGGGTTAAATGTATCTGCTACTTGTTTGCATAATGAGCTTATTCCAGGGTTATTAAAAACCGCCGTGCTCAGAGTCTGCAGGAATTGTATTGTTTCACTTTCATAAATCAACCAATGCGTGTACCGTGTTACCGCCTCAAACCAATCCGGGATGGAAGCTCAACTCCTGTTTACAGCGCTGACAAACTGTGGTGGAAATTCCACCTTTCCAAAGTAAAAAAAAGGGTCAAAGCAATTCATCCTTGAATCAAATAAGTGAGCGAAACAGTTCTTGTCTAGCATGTATACTGAGTATGACTTTTGCAATTATTTGCCTATCTTGCCTTAAGTAATACTTTAGAGCCCTTTGTTAATCGGCTGCTGGATGAAGCCTTTTCTATGCAGTGTTAGTCATATTGCTCGCCGCTGATATTAGCCAAGACCGGGATTCGAACTCGGTTCGATAAGTTAATAGCGTAGTGTGCTTACCTCTGCACCGCCACTTCTGCCTTACACTATAACAGTGATTTCACTACTCACAAATGTAGCCCACACAGTATGAAAAAAAAATGTAAGTAGTTTACTCCAGGCAGTTTTTAAATCGGATTTTTATATTGTTCAGTAGGCGTTCTTATCTCCCGAACTATTATTAAGCGCTATTGAAGCCAAGTGCATGGCCTTTTGCGAATCCGCGAAACATCGCAAAATAAGAATCTCTTGTGATGGGCATGCGCGGGTCACGTTGATCATTTATGCGGAACGCGACTCTATAAATATGGAGCCATCTGGTTGGGATGGGGCCATCATGTTCACGTCCAAAATATGGAAATAAATCGTGCTCTTACTTATTTTCCTCATAAATGTCCAATCTCTACTACATCCTGGCTCTTGTTAAGAGTGATAAAATACGCACAGTCCTTTGTCCAACCATGGCTTTAATGAAGCCCTTCCCACACCGTGTCAGTCATGAGGTTTGTTGGATCCGTAGTTGGCCACGCTCGTCAGTTGTAGGGACCAGTTTGGATATCGCTCGTCAGTGATGTTAGCCGTGGCCAGAAACTCAGGTCACTGGGTTCATTGTGTGGTGTACATATCACTGCACCACCGCTCCCTCCCACCACCAACCTTTTAAATTATGGAGGCGTGAACGCTTGCTCATCCTTCATAAATCAGATTGACTTCATCATTCTGCATCGCATCGTATGCTGAACCTACGCGTCGAGGTCACCATTGTGATTTGTAAGAGTGTTTTCTTTCCTTTCATTCCATAGGGATTCTCATGAAAGGATGAAAGGTAATATATTTTGTATTAAAAGAATGTTTAATACGTAACCTTGTATCTTCACTTGGGGTGGAGTGGAGGCACGGTAGTCATTAGCTCACTGGGCTATGACCTCAGCGACCTGATTTATATTCCCGGCAACGGTTAACATCAGTGGTGAGTGGCATCTGAACCGGGCATGACTCCCACCCCCCACCCCCCGGTTAATTGACTTGAAGGTCATTGACAAATGCATTTGGTCAGATTCCAAAAAGTCAACATAAACGTTATTAAATTGTATGCGTGATCTTGAGATGCTATTTGTTTAAGAGTTGCCTCCGCACTATAATTTTCAAAGTGATTGCTATAGGTATAAAACCATAAAAGCAAATGTCATTTTAGTCTCTGAAATTAAATAAAGATTGAAGATTTTAGGAGTCGATATCACTCTGTAACTTTTGCTTTAAAGACGTTTTTTGTCGCACGAGAATAGATGTTCTGTGATGAAGCATTTACGTGAACCGAGTCTCCCTTGAACCAAGTAGAAAATTCCACGTATGGCGTTCATGCATATTGTTTGCCGGTCTTAGTGTTTTAGCGGAGAGCATGAGAAACTAAACAATAAGCAGATGAAGACATCTCCTTCACATATCTGTCCCTCTGCTTAGAAAACACACGCCACCCGGCCTTCCGGGAGGTGCATCATTCCAGCAGCGTTGGTTTGAACTCTGGACCGGTTTTGATGTACGGTATCTCATCCGCAAAGTCAGGCTCGCCTGAGCAAGGCATTAGCCGTAGTGCTCGCCTAATGCTACATTATCCTGTACACGCCAGGCAGGTATGCGTCTGTACATTGCCTGAAGCCTCCTGGTCTCTTTACCGGTCACGAAAAATGTAACGCAACGACAGTTGCCTTCCCACAGAACAGGACCGAACCACATTCAAAATTGCACAAGAGATACAGTTACACTTACACTTTTATCTTGCAATGTAATGGAACGGCCCTTTATGCATCCACGGCTGAATCAAGTTCAGGTGACTGGGTTCATAATGCCCTCTGTTCATGGGAGTTATTTGGCTCTACTTCCCCATGTTGGTCAGTGTTGGTGGTTAAGCACGTGAGTTTAATATCTTTCCTTCACTTCAGGCACGCTATCTGCGCCACACCTATCCAGTTTGACAAATGTTGAACATTTTGTTGGCTTCACAGGTGTTTGAAATGGTTTGCCATGTGAATTGTTTGTGACCACGCTTCCGAGAAGTGGTGTAACACAACCACTCCGTGTCGGCTGCACCTCTTAAGCACATGTCAATTCAAACGTGTATCTCTTATAAAGACAAAGATCCCACTTATAGCCTTTAACAGACGGATGGGGCAAGTGCTCTTAGCGAGAACCTATGAAGGCCGGCACGGCACACGAGGGGGTGGGTGGCCAGCACCACCTCAGACCGCCTTTGTCTCCCCAGTGCTGATGTTTTTCACAATGCATCAGGTACTCAATCAAGGCTGAGTCGACCTCGTGCAGGCCCAGGATCGGTTCGTCACTGTTATTTGGGCGTGAGTGGGAATAAAACTTGGGTCGCCGGGTTCGTGGCCCAGTGCGCTAACTACTGCACCGCCGTTCTTCTCTTTCTCTCTCACTCACCTAGCACTCGACTCCCACGGCGGTGAGGTTTAGCCGGGGTGGCTATCCTGCGCTTGGGGGAACAAGGGTTTGTGGATCACCGACTGAGCTGCGCGGTGACCAGGGGGTGGCAGTATAACAAGTGTGTTTGTAAAACCCATCTGGACGGATCCTTGAGTGTTAGTTCCTTGTATGAATGAGGTTTTCTCTGGTCGATAGTTTTTTTCTTCCCATGTGCAAACACACACCTTAAGATAGAATCGGAAAACATCCAAAAGCAGGGACCCTTTGAAATATCGGCTTCCCTGGGTAAATAAATGAGATTATTAATGTACTGTTGATGTCCATCCATTGTGTATGATAGTTTCCACACAATTTAAATATGAATGCATCTGGGTTATGCGTAATACCTCCATAATGCCACACTGTCATTACAATGCATAATTTTAAATTGTGTATGGAAACACAATACATACTGTATTTATGAAAGTTAACTCATGTTCTCACTTTAACCATTAGCACTCCTAAAACACACTCACGCGTAAGCTTAATGATTGAAAAAGAAATCGCACGCACGCACGCAGACCTCAGTTTCCTAGTTTTGGTGGCTCGCCATGGCAAGGTGCCTTCCGTCGTGTCGTGCCGCTGCCGCCGCTGCCGCTGCCGCTTTGTGCCAAAAAAGGGGCCTTTGAAAACGGCCAATTGGTGTTGGAAATTCCACAAAACACAACGGAGACATCGGTTGCACGTCTATGTTGTCGTATGCACGCCCCTCAACGCCCACACTCGCATGTGTGCCGTGTCTCTGGGACGAGGGCGTCTCGTCGCACACCGCCGCATTGCTTCACAGATATAGACGGATTTGGGACGTGCTGTGATACTTGAAATTGGGCGTTTAATGTGATGATTTTTTATGCTTTTTTTTCTGTGACCGGCAAACGCGCGTGGGCGTTTGACCGACAGCAAAGCCACAAACGTGTTGAGGAACTAGCGAGTTAAGGACAGAAAAAGAGTCGAATTCCAAAAAACGACCTGCGCTGACTGACCTTCACCCACTCGAATCGCCACTGCCGTGACATCAGCTGCACGGGCGTGCTCTGCCTTGAGCCCTAGGCGGCTGCTGCTCCTGCTGCTGTGCATGCACTCAAGTTTTTTTTGAAGACGATGGGGTTCTGCATCTTGTGCAAAGTCATTTTGTCGGCTCTCCTGTGCCTCTGCTTTTGCCCTGGAGGTAAGAGAACCCCCCCTCCCGCTGCCCCCTGGAGGTAAGAGAGGCCCCCCTCCCCGACGGGTCTGACGTGATAATTGTTGGGTTTGCGATGAACTTATCTCTCCTGGAGCAGCCCTGCCCGGCCAGGTAATTGACACCACTTGCCCGGCCTGTTCTGGGCCACGCTAGACATTTAGAGAGGCGGAGTGACTGTATGCCCTCACGGTCTGCAACCAGACAGCATTTGCTGCAGTTTTTTTATGTACCAACAAACCTGCACTTTTTATTTACTTGACACACTGTATATATATATAAAAAAAAATACATCGCAAGTAGCACCTTGAGACTTTATTTCGTATTCTTTTTAGTGAGTTGCACAGAGATGGACTGTCCTTGGGTTATGGCTTCCCTACATTGGAAACTTAACGTTGTCGTTAATGGCGGTAGACAGAAGACTTTGACACTCTTGGACACTCTTGAGTTAGGTGCTTTATTGCATGGCAACGGGCACGGTGACTGACAGTAATAAGTTGGGCCTCTGATCGAGCAGTTGAACTTTGAAAGCACCCACGGCGATCTCGCTCAGACGTGTTTCCGATTTGTGCGGTTGCGTCGTTCGACCTCTACGCGAACAAACAGCGCGCGGAGCGAAACGAACGGACACCACGTCAGAGGGGACTGCACGGCACAGCCCCGCGGACCAACCTGTTCTGTGGTTGGGTTCGGCTTTCAAGTAAAATCGCTGCAACATTTGGGAGCGCACAACGTAGGGCGGCGATGGTAGCGATTCAGCATGCGTTACGCCCGGTCAGGGCCGCTGAATATAAATATGGACTGTGTACCAGGCAGAGGGCTTGCGGTAATAATAACAATAATGTCAATTATTGACCCGTGAAAGCGTCACTTCTGCACGTAAAGTCATTTCCCGGAGGGTCCTGTTAAATGTTTTGGACCAATTGAAGTGCTGTAACGAGCATTTGGCTTTGCGTGGGAGGAAACTAGAGTACAGTAAGTAGAGAAATTCCAGCATTCATTCACTTACACACTCCTGCTGCATTAACAGACATGGGCAACTTCGATATTCGGGAAGTGAAAACGCTCACATGGCGAACGCTATTTTTTTTCATAAAAAAATGAACAAACACACAGCAGAGTGTGCACGCACCACAGGGCACAGTTCACGAAGTGAGCCATTAAAATTGATAACACCCCCGCAATATAGTCGTGGCTGGTGCCAAAAATTTACTCCGGAGCTGTTTCGCTCGAGCACACGGGTGCGATTATCTGAGATTTTGGCGACTCGTTCAAAAGAAAGATCTGTACTTTCAACCGCAGGTTTTCTGTGTGTGTGCGGTTCGGGAGCGCTGCTCAGCGTGGCTGTGAGCTTCCTCTCGCCCTCTTGGCCCGCGAAGGTTCGTCTTGGCGGTGTAGAATATTGCCACGATGCATCTCGAACGGAAAAAAAAGTGTCATTAATTTGCTCAAACTCGGCTGCAACACGGCAACTGTTGCGGACAAACAGAAGAGGATATTATCAGCTGCGCAGGTCGGAACAGTGCCCCGGTAGCAGATGCGCTGTCACTCACCGGCAGCCCATTGTAAAACCTTCCCACGACTGTGCAATATGATATAGATTCTTAAGCCCACGATGCATGCATTGCATTGCACGAATCAGTGTGTTCAATTCATATTTACTCGTATGTAATGAGTTTACGTGACCCCCCCCCTCCAGCCACTAGATTTTGCTACGTTCATCACGACTAAAAAACTAAAATGTATTCTTGAATCAAATCAGGATCCTTAATCTTGCGAATTCATCGTAAAATTCGAGTTGTTGCTCGACATCAGCTTCAGCCTTACAAAGGAGACGAATTTGGAATTGTACGCACCCACAAGTTCAGTTTTTAATTATCAGGAAGCACATTGGTAATAACAATAATAATAAAAAACATGTTTTACTGCCTTGATACAATCCACCGAAGGCTTCCCCACACTGCGTAGATCATGGATATTGTTTGACCATACTTCGCTGTGCTGGCTCGTATGGGTTGGTGAAGTGGACGAGAGGCCCGGGACCCGTTCAGATTATAATCACTCGCCCACCCATGTTCTCATGCCAAGGGCCCAGCACATTTATTTTCCTTGTTGGTACCACCTGACTTGGCAACGCTTGAATGAAGAGAAGCCTTAATCCAATACATTTAAACCGCCAATTTGAAGTGAATTACGTAATAACCCTATTCAAATCACATTATCTACTTGTATCACCCAGATAACAACAATTAGCATGAACAAATATTTGCCACCTCTCGCGAACCATTTTCTGCTCTGGCCCATGGACTCGTAGCCACGTTCGGGAATCGCGCTTGGGTCCTCCAGCTTTCATACGAGCCAATTTCCTGCAACAAAAAGCAAAAGTCAATTCGTCTCCCTGCTCAATTGACCTTTGAGCCGTGCTCATCTTCATCCGATGTCCTTATCCGCCATCCCCATTAATTCCGAATTTCTAGCGTACAAGCCGCTAATGAGATTTCGTGTTGTTGGGAGCCTCCTGAGGTCTCATGGGTGAGTCACAACACAGTTAGATCAGCGAGGCTAAATTCCCGCTGCAGTGGAAATATTTGGTGTCAGGCTGACACCGGCTATTGGCATTCTGTGAGCTCGAGAGCCAATCAGTGGATGTGGCTGTCAGAACTCAAGTGTAAGTTTACACGTATGTAGAACTTCTGTTGTACCGTATGTAGCCAAACGTGCTAATCGGAGGTGCAGCAGCTCTGAGCTGGAAACCAATACCGAATGAAGACCTTTCGCTAACAGGACAAGCCGCCGACGGCATTTAAAATTAATCGAAAAGTGTATTTTATTTTAATCAAGTAAGGCCCACAGAGCTATGCAGCTCTTTTCGGAAGCGACCTGGCTATCACAAATGATAGCTCAACGAAGCAGTTTATCGTTTGGAAATGTATAGCAACCAAACCCTCTAAACGCATTTTGATTCTAATTGTGGCGGGAAAACCCGGGGGACCCGATCCACGTGACCACGGGGAGAGAGACATGCAAACTCCAAATATACAGGAATCTTGGGGCAGGATCGAACCCACGACCTCCTGTATATAAAGCGAGGTAGTTAACATTTCGCCGCCATTGCGCAAGCAGTGTGAGGACATTGAGTGGTCCACCCTTGATCTTTCTGTGTCGTTATCAATAAAGCTCAACAAAGGTCGTTTTATGTTTTTTTTTACTCGATGCTTACATTGTGCAACCTGGAGGTACGCACTGCTATGTTGTAATTCCATGATATTGTCAGGCAGAGGCTGCTCCGACCCTGGTCTTTGGAAGGAACGCTTCACCAGACTAGCCGAGGAATCGGTGCATTGCATGCAGACATGTTCAGCTCGTACACATGGCTCAATTCTAGCCTGTGTGCAGTGTCTTTTATTAAACTATTATGCATTAATACACACAATGGACAGGAAAGAGCAGATGAAAGGGCTCGAATAATGCGCATGCATAATGTACGTTGACTCATCCCCCCCCCCACCCACCACCTTGCGAAAGAGCGCAGAAGCGTGGTCACCACATCTACGCCTCTATATAAGGAGCGAAACAGGTGGACTTCTCTACAAATCTGGCTGTGGCCTGATGAAGCTAGTTGCAATTACTGGCGAAACGTCGTACTCGGATTGTAAATGTTGTGGCTTGGCTCTCCAACACACCGGTGTGCTGTACTAGTGACGAATTGGCCACGTTCTGTTTACGTAACAACCCTTACTAGTTGGCTATAGTAATAGAGCTATAGTAATAGAGCAAGTGCAGAATCACTGAAACGGAATTGATAGCTTGAAAGTATTTAGCGCGGGGCCCTTGAAAGTGCGGGGCCCAGAGCATTTGCTACTTTTGCTACTACGATAATCCGGCACTGCATATTACGTCCTTTGGCTGCCATTCCCGTCGCCACTCTCATCCATCATCCCCTCTCACCGTGATTTGTCCTTCCCAAGCACCCCACTTACTTTTCTCAGCATTCAGTATGATCTCTAATTTGCATTTGTTCCCAGATCCATGTATTCCGTTGATTTAAGTACTGATACAATGAACGCTATGTATGTAGAAACATGACACACTGAATTAAATTACACCTTGGGGCGTGGGGCAGTGGCGCATTGGTTAACACGCAGCTCTGTGAACTCGACAACTGGAATTTGATTCCCAACCATTGGTTAAACATGAGTGCTGAGTGAAATTTGAACCGTTCCTGCCTGCTCACAACTTCACCAACTCGCACTGACCACGCGTGGGGAACTAAAGTCGAACAACCCGCATGGGCCAACACGGCACCTGAAAGCGTTGCAATAAAAAAATAGCTGTATACATTTGTTTACGTTATTTCAACAGACATGTGTAACCTTATAGATTACTTAGTTTGAATAAAAAAAAGTATAGCAAAGCATCATCCTATGCAATGGCTAGAGCAATGCACAACAGCGAGTAGTGAAAGAGAAAGTGGAAATTAAAGCGTGCACACACAACTCTACCGTGATATGGACGAGTTTGTGGCTAAACCGTCCACAAGGAATGATCTATTTGTTATCGGAGGAAAGGCGGCCCCGTTGAAGAAGGATCGTGTAGAGATTAAAATCGTTTCCGTATTTATGCCCGCTGTACCACCACCACCACCACCACTGGATTTGAGATTGTGAAGATGAAAAAAATACACGCTTGGTCAGCTGTGTCAACACGGCACCTAATTCCCGCCATGTAGTCACAAGAGATTGTGTTTCGGTTTCCGCCGCTGTTATTTGCGCCGAGCCATTGCAGTGCCAGCTCATTGGGCTCGCGGTGATGAGGCTGAGTTTGAGTTGTCCACGCAAGACCACCTGAAGCCATCACGCGATCCCTGCCGGGTGCTGCGAATGCGTTCAGTTGCGTGGCAGTCGTTGAATGTGAGGATGTTGGTGTCTCGTTTGTAGCTTTGTTCGCGACCATGTAGAACAAATTTCAACAATAGCAAACCATTTGTA